TGAACGCGGGTTCTGATGAGAACAGTGTAAGCGTTCAAGCAAACCACTTCTGAAGATGCAAGCCACTCGTGCTTGCGAAACGTCAGGAAGAAATCCTACCGAACGACGGCCTAAAAACCCATTAGTTTCAAGGAATGGCCTCGAAAGTCTATTTCTTTTGTTAGTTTTCTGCAAGCTGGCGCCCTATCCTCCATTTTCTACCTATTAACCTTGAAGAAGAACTTTACTGTTGACATTTTTGTAGATTAAAATTATTGCAAAAATATGAGAGCAACTGCATAGTTTGCTAAAAAACGATAGAAACAGATCCAGTGAAAGCATATGAAGTAAGAAATAAAGAATCTGCAGGAAGATACAGAAAAACCATCACAGATAAATTAGAAAATCTTGTTGAAAGTTGCTTAAAAAAATATCAATGCCATCCAGTTGCGTACTCGAAAAACATTTTCAGAAGCCATTGAGGGAATCTGGGAGTAAGCAGGAAACCAAACAGAAGACAGCAATAAAAATGAAGAAACCGTTCAATAAAACTAATAAAATATCAAACATTTTTTCGTTTTTAAACGTCTAAAGCATTTGGAATTGTTGGTTTATTGTTTGTTTTAATTAAGAAATTTGGTTTGGTCCTTCACCTACATCCTCATTAGCCTATACAGACATAATTCAAGCAGCAAACAGGAAAGCGATTAATATTATTTAATTATACAAACCGAGTAGATAAGGCGGCAAAAAGCAAAAGCTCCAGATAAGAGAATCAGTGGGACATTTGTCATCGATAGGAAGCAGGCTACTTAATGACTAGAACAAGACATTAACAATTAACTACTGTTAGCTATAATTGTATTCGAGATTTATGGACGTTTTATCAATATTTCAGAGACATTTGATCTTAATTTCCCGTCGAAGATACTGGATGCCGTTTAAAATATTACCCGATATGGGTGTATCAGACAACGACTGATTATTTCGATGATTTACACGAATTTGTGGAAACAGTACATACTCAAACTAAGTTGTTATCGTTAATGTATTTGTTGTTTAGTTCAATTACTCCTGCTACCATTTAGTCGTTTTTCCGGCCAGAACTAAAAGACCCCAAGTGAAATAATATTCTTTAAAAAAATTAGCTCGCCTAATCGGGCCAGACTATCGGAATTCCCAGTTGAAATTTTAATTTAAAACCAGTCATAAACAGTGCTCGCACCGAATTTCCGTATCTGGACAGATATAATTCGATTGGGGAGAGCATTTAAGCCCTGCTACAATTAACATTGGGTCAAATTGGAGCCTCGAGCAATAGATAACGGCTGCATGCAATTGG